CCTCGGGATTCTTTTCCCTGGTTTCACTGATTGGCTTTCAGCTTATCGGCCTGCTTCTAGGTCCGTCCCAATTTTGAGTTCCTTGATTGGTCGTAGATATGTAGATGTTCAGGTCGTAGATATGTAGATATTTATATGATGCTCCCTGCTTGAGAAGTTTATTTCAGAATGAACATAAGAACTCAAGTATCACGTCGAACGTCGAATACTTTATTAGTAGGAAAATCGTCCTGTCGAAGATTTGGTTACAATAAGCTTAGTTGGTCCAAATAATGGAGAAACATAAAAATGTCCAGAAATATGTCGAACTAGTGGTAGTATCTTTTGAGGTGTTGGGCGTGCCACGGGTGTAGTAAGGCCTTCCCCCGCTGGTCTTCTAAAGCATAAGTGCCTATTCGCACCACTTTAGTGACTTTGTATGGGCCCTCCCATGTTGGCCCGAGCGTACCGCTAGTTGATCTTTTGTATTGGGCATAACCTTTCTTAACACCAGATCACCTTCTCTAAAGTCACGTTGTTTGACCTTCGAGTTGTAGTATCGAGCTATTCGATTTTTGTATTCAGCCGTTCGTAGTTGTGCTGTTTCTCGATGTTCTTCTAATAGGTCGAGGTTGAGCTTTACGGATTCGTTGTTGTCAAGTAGAGTGAACTGCTCTACCCTTTGGGAGGGGAGTCCGATCTCGACTGGCACTACCGCCTCAGAGCCAAATGATAATGAAAATGGCGTTTCTCCTGTCGAAGTACAAGGTGTCGTTCTGTATGCCCATAATGCGTTGGGAAGTTCCTCTGCCCACAACCCTTTGAGCTTTTCTAATCTGGTCTTCAAAGTTCTTTTGATAATTTTGTTGACTGCTTCAACCTGCCCATTAGCCTGCGGATGTGCTAGCGAGGAACAGATGTGCTTAATGCCCAACTCCTTGCAAAATTCTCGAAAGGCAGCATTGTCGAACTGCTTCCCATTATCACTGATAATGGCGTAGGGTATTCTGAAGCGGCAAATTATGTTCTTCTAGATGAAGTCGGTGACCTTTTTCTCTGTAATTGTCGTTTGGGCTTTGGCTTCGGCCCACTTAGTAAAATAGTCGATTGCCACTACTGCAAATTTGGTCTGGCCCTTTCCTAGTGGGAGAGGCCCTATAAGGTCTATTCCCCACTGAGCAAAGGGCCAAGGACTCATTATGCTTGTCAGAGGCTCTGGCGGTTGTCTAGGTACGGTTGCAAACCGTTGGCATTTGTGGCATTTTTTGGTGAATTGCTTCGTGTCATTCAGCATGGTCGGCCAGTAGTACCCTTGTCGAATTATTTTGTGACTTAGGAATCGTGCTCCAGAATGGCTCCCACAAACACCCTCATGTATCTCTCTCATGACGTAGTCGGCTTCATCGGGCGTTAGACATTTTAAAAGCGGCAACGAGTAGCCTCTTTTGTACAGATTGTCGTCTTTAAGCACATATCTGGCCGCTCGTCGTTGTAGCTGCTGTGCCTCTATCTTTTCAGTAGGCAGGATCCCATCTTTCAAACATTTGATCAAAGGGCTCTTCCAGTTTTCTTCTGGTTGCCCTTGATTGTCGATATCCATGGCTTCCTGAGCTTCTATGCTTGGCTCGGGTAGAATCTCGACCGGTACAGTTCTGCCTAAGTCGGTTTCATAAGCCGCAGCTAGTCGAGCTAACGCATCGGCGTTGACGTTTTGAGCACGTGGAATTTGTCAAATCTCATATTTTGAGAACTGGTCGAGCTGGTTTCTTACCTGTGAAAGGTATTTCGCCATTCGCGGTTCTCTAGCCTGGAACTCCTGTTTCACCTGACCCACAATCAGCTGTGAATCACTAAGTATTAGTATGTTCCTGACCCCAACGTACCTGGCCACTTTTAGTCCTGCTAGTAGAGCTTCGTACTCGGCTTCGTTGTTGGATGCATGAAAGTTGAATCGCAGCGCATATTCGAATCTTTCTTTATCTGGAGAGATTAGTAGGAGTCCTACCCCGCATCCCCGAAAATTTGAGGACCCATCTACGTAGAGTGTCAAGAGTTGTTCTTCCTCAACCACTTGTGGGTCGATACTATATACTTGAGGCTCTGTTGGTGTTAATTCCGCTATGAAGTCTGCCACAACCTGCCCTTTCATGGCAGTTCTTGGCTTATAGTGAATGTCGTACTCGCTGAGTTCTACAGCCCACTTTACCAGTCGTCCAGAAGTGTCTGGCTTTTGTAAGATCTGTCGTAAGGGAAAGTTGGTGAGGACCATTATTTTGTGAGCTTGGAAATACGGGCGTAGTCTCCGAGCTGAAGTGACCAGTGCCAATGCCAGCTTCTCCATTGGTGGGTATCTAAGTTCTGCATCTACCATTGCTTTGCTTGTGTAGTAAATTGGGGATCGTCGTCCATCTTCTTCCTTTATTAACGCGGAACTCACCGCAGTGCTGGATACAGCTAAGTATAAGTAGAGTTCATCACCCACGATCAGCTTTGCGAGGAGTGGAGCTGCCCCTAGGTACTGTTTCAGCTCCTTAAAGGCAGCCTCGCACTCTTCCGTCCATTCAAATTGTCCTTTCTTCCTTAAGATTTTGAAGAATGGTAGGCACTTGTCAGTGGAACGGCTAACGAATCTGTTGAGTGCTGCTATCCTTCCATTGAGTCCCTGCAGCTGCTTTAGAGTTTTAGGTGGATCCATCTCCAGAACAGCTTTGATCTTATCTGGATTGGCTTCGATTCCCCTTTGGTGCACTAAAAATCCCAGGAACTTGCCTGAGGTCACTCCAAACGTGCATTTGGTGGGATTCAACTTCATCTTGTACTTTCGCAAGATGTC